AATTCGATGCACATTGCTTACCAAAGGAAATTTTAACGTAGGTATGATTTTTTTCATTTAAACAAGCACAAGGGCAATTTCTGGATCAGTTTGTCGCAGAGGCAAAGAAAATAGCTATGAAATGCGAAAACTGTTATAATATCTAAGATTATTGAAAAATGAGTTATATTGGAAATATCCAAGGAGAGAAGTAAAGCGATATCGCATCGAATTACAGTTGATTACGTTCAAAGAGATAAACATAAAGGATCCGTTGAAAGGGAACATGATTGGAAGCAAAGAGAGAGGAAATTTATTAATAACTGTAGTAGGTGTGGCTTAAATCATTTGGTGAATAAATGTCCAGCTTTTGGTAAGGAATGTATTTTTTGTAAAATTAAAACTCATTTTGAGAACAGATATGGAAAAGAGAAATAATACAAAAGTGTGGGAGGTAATGGAGGAAGTGAATATTGAAAAATTTGATGATTCTTTATTTATTGGTTCAATAACTGATATAGATTTGCACGGTATGAATGAACAAGTGAATGAATGGGTTACTTCTGTGGAAATAAATAAAAGATTTATTAAATTAAAAATTGACAAAGGTGCAATGGCTAATATTTCGTCATTAAACACTTTATAAAAGTCTCTCCCCAAAAATTATTAATATTATATAGGCTGCATAGATAGAAAATGCAGTATTAAATTAGAACTGAATGCTTGTTTGCGCCGCTTATGAATTGAACTTTAAATCCTAACCATCAATGTCAATTCGACTTTTTCAATAGAGACAGTTAGCACCAGTCGGCAAAGAAGAGACATTGACATTGAATGATGAGCAGCATTTTTTTTTTGATTTTGAATCTAGTTTGTAAGTTGTTTCTTTGTTAGGCGATTGCTAGGCAACTAAAAAATTATGATTATGATTATAAAAAAAATTTTGATACACTTATGTAACTCTCGTCTGATCGAATTTATGATGACAATAAAGTGAAATGCTAAAAAATCTTCACTAGTAGGTTTTCTAACCCGCTTACACAACAATGCTAAACCGGTTGTTATTCCAATCAGGAGGGTAGCATTTGCATTTCCAATGGTAGAACCTTTGAAGCAATGTCTAGAGGAGCTAACAAAAATCAAAACCATTGAAAGGGTTGAAGGTCCTTCTGACTGGCTGAATGCTCTCGTTTTGGTGCGTAAGCCAGATGGAGAACTGAGAATTTGTCTCGATCCAAAGGGTCTAAATAATGTAATTAAAATGGAATACAGTAGAATTGCTACTTTCGAGGAAATTTCTAGCAACTTAGCGGGAGCAAACATTTTTAGTACTCTAGATGCAAAAAGTGGGTTCTACCAAATACAATTAGATGGAGAGAGCTCCAAGCTTTGCACATTCGGAAAACCTTTTGGTAGCTACAAGTTTTTGCATTCACCTTATGGTGTAAAGTGTGCTCCTATAGTTTTTCAAAGTTGTTTTAAAAATATTTTCGATAAAATTGAGGGCCCTGATATCTATATAAGGCATGTCCATGTGACGTCACAATTGACAGTCGCCCTGAGGTAAAACAAATTATTCATTTACATTCGTGTAGATTAGGCCAGTTATGTTTTATGCGGTTTCCACAGCTTTTTGACAAGTTTTTGTGTTATTTTGTTCTAAAAAAGTTAGAGTGGAGTGTTTGTGTTCCAGTGTGGTCTTTTATCTAAAAGTTTGCTAGGTTTTCCTATAATGGATTAATTTTAGTTTTTTTTTCCAACAATTATCAAAACCAAGTGTCACAAGAACAAATATATAAGTACAGTGACTCTCTATTCAATCCATTTTTCTGTCAGATCTTCTATTTCAAGAACATTAATCAATTTTTCTCTTCTTTCTTGAGCTAACAAATCAAACCTCCCATTGTTATTTAAAATTGATGGAAACCTATGGAAGGATATTGTATCCCTTTCGCTATACTGCCACAATTAACAACTAAACGAACTCTAAGCATGTCCAAGAAACTTCTGGATCACACAAAAGGTATTTATTTAAAAAAATCTAACTAAAAACTCAAACTGTAAATTATATCTTTGTTTTACCTCAAGGCGACTGTCAATAGTGTCAAACTGCCAGATCGTGTACTTGCCGTATAGATGATATTTGGGGCAGAAATAAAATAGAACATGATTTGAGGTTAAAAAGAGTTTCAGACACAGCGAGAAAAAATAATGTCAAGCTTAATTTAAATAAATGTAGATTTGGACAGAAAGAAATAAAATATAGGAGTCACAGAATTAATAATAGTGGTATCAGCCCAGACAAGACAAAAATTCAAGCAATTACAGAAATGCCACGTCCAAAAAATAAACAGGAAAAGATACAAATTTGAAAGATCTCAAAGAATTAATTCTGAACGGGTTCAAATAAAAAAGGTAAAAATGACCTCAAAATAGTTTGTCCCTTTAAATCAGATTTAAATGTTGTTGATAGACTCATTTTTAAAAATAATTGTTTGGTAATTCCAAAATCCATGCAACAAGAAATGTTGAATAGAATTCATTATAGTGATTTAGGAATTATTAAATGTATAAAATTGGCTCAAGATTCTTTATTCTGGCCCGGTATGGTTGATCTGGGGGGCTTTATTTGAAATTGATGCAAGCAACTTTGCGTACACGCAAATATGACGCAAATGACGTCAGTTGCGATTGAAAAAGTGCATGTCAAATAAACCGTGCACCAATTTCCAATCACGAATGACGTCATTTGCGTGTACGCAAAGTTGCATCAATTTCAAATAAAGCCCCCCAGATTGAACAAAAAGTTTCTTATTATCATATTTCGAATTCACAGAATAAGGAAACTTTGAAGCCTCGTGAAATACCAGTCCCACCATAGAATAAAGTGGGGTGTGATATATTTGAAATAAAAGGAAAAAAATATATCTTTTGGTTATTGATTATTTTTCCAACTATATTGAGATAGCAGATTTATAGAATAATTTAAAAAGTCATTATGTTATAAGAAATCTGAAGTCAATTTTTGCCAGACATGGCCTGTTACCAGGATAAGTGCTGGCAGTTCACAATTTACTTCTCGCGAGTCCAGAATGTTCAGTAGGGAATGGAAATTTCACCACATAGTTTCTTCACCAACTTATGCTCAATCAAATCGTATGACTGAGAGACATACAAACTGTTAAAAAAATCTTTAAAAAATATATATGATGATAAAAAAGATTTGTACATAGCTCGCCTACACTATAGAATAACACCTATATTTGAAAACATCCCTCCATCAGAAATTCTTATGTCAAGAAAGTTAAGAACAAATTTAATAATAACAAAAAATCAGTCAAAACCTAAAGTTTCTAAAGAATATAATAAAGTAATAATTGAAGAAAAACAAGAATTACAACAAAAATATAATAATAAAAATAGAGTAAACTTGACTTACCTAAATTGTTTATGAATCAAGACGTTTATGTTCAAACCAAACAATGCCCAAAAGGCAATTGGTTACCTGGTACTTTTATTGCTAATTTTAGAGATAGAACATCTAAAGTGAAAATGAATAATGATTCTATTTTGATGAGAAATCGAATACCTATCGTATCGTATTTATTAAATCGAAAGAAAATACACATTTTTCAAATAATTCTTTCACAAATAATAATAAAACCATTATCCATTGGCAGAGAAAAGGGAAAATAAGGAAGAAATTGGGTAGTACATAGAGTTGGATACTGAACAAAATGTTACTGAATACAAAAATGGTAATGAAGATAGTGTAGTTATAGAAATAGAAAATGAAAAGGAAAACGGATTTTGCAGAAGTGAACTTGGAACTTGGACTTGAAAACAGGCAAATTGAAATTCATGAATGTCACAAAAACAGTGAAACAGATAATAACTGGGATACAGAAAGTGATACCAGTAGTAGTGATGAAGAATGTATTACGATAGTTCTTGATAAGGAAAGTGAGTCGTCACAAAGTGATTCAGATTTGGAGACTAAATTTATTACCAAAACTCACATAATCGCATCAGGTCGTATTTCGAAACCTCCTCCAAAACTGAATCAATATAGCTCTTAAGTTGGTATAGTTTTGCTAAAAAGGGGGATGTAGGATTAGGTTTAGAAATTGCTACTTATGGATCTTAGCCACTACCTGTCATTAGTCAATAGTTACGGCATCATGTCGCGATCAAGGCACTTGTTCTGTCACAGTCTTGTTGTAAATGTCTACAATTATTAAACATAAATAATTAAATAAACCATCTAGTATTTCATTTAGAATAAATAAGTAATGAAACACTAACACGTACCACTTAAATTAGAGATGTGTGCGAAACCATTACACCCCAAATATATGGAATAATATTGGCCATGTAGCCAGATGTGCAGACGCCAGATTCATTGAGTAAATTTTTACAAATTTATCAAAATGAAGACATGAAAAGCAAATTGGGTTCAGGAATTTTTATCGAAAGAATATTTAATCTATTTTTTTCTAGGTACTTGGTTAATTTTATTTTTACTGACCGCCAATTTCAAGACCACATTAAGTTATTATAGGGTTATTAGTCATTATATTTTCCACACTTTTCCTATCACACATCCGGTTATAAAATTAAAACATAACTATAAGGTTTCATTATGAAATTACTACCTTTTAAAACGGAGAATACCTACATTATATGCTGCGATGTAATTAAAAGAAATCAAGAAAATTAGTTTTGGTTAGGTACCTGATGTACTTGGAAACTTTTCTACTCAAATTGAATACCCCATACTGTTATATTTTCGATAGCAAATAGAATGCACTCGAAAAAATGTATTAAATCTCTTACGAGAATATAACAATATTATTCCGGACTTGTAAATTTATCGCCGGGTGAGAATTGCGTGCGGGGTCTTAATTTCCAATATTTACGGTCTAAAACGCCTGCATATACACGAAATCATCCTAATAAAGCAGCGCGAAATTGCATTTTTCTCGTCAGTATCTCTCTAAGCCACCCGACAACAAATAATTATGAATAGTTCTTCATTACTAGCAGCAATTTTTTTTGTTTGCTTCGCCCTATCGCAATGCCCAAGAAGTGCAAGTGGAAACGCAAACAGTCCATCGTGGGTGCTTCAAAAATTTTTCAATCGGTGCTCGGAAAAAGACCAAGTGATAAAATGCCTTAAAATTCAGGCCCTGAAAGTTGCAGATCGTGCCCTACAGGTTCGATCTTTCAACATTCTGGATGGACTTAATATTGTGAGCAACGAGAGACTAAAAAAAAGTGTCAATGGTGAAGTGTTTTTGAACGAAACTAAATTGGAGAAACTTTCTAATGATGATTTGGATAGTTTACTTGGAGATAGAGCGTCAAGGTGAAAATCTGAAAACTTTACAAAAATTCCAAGAAACAATCCATTCCTAAATATTTTTTAGGTTTATGGATTCACATAGAATTGAGCTCAACATCCCAACGATAGTGAAAGAGGCTGGTAGAAGTTTTTCAGAAGAAGCCCGGAAAAAAAAGGGAGGCAAAGGGGGCGGAAAGGGAGGCTACGGTGCGTTGCTAGCTGCCTTGGCAATAAAGGGAAGTTTTTTGGCTGTAGCCTATAAAGGTAAGGGTTCCTATATTTTTTTACGATTTAAAAATATACATATCGCCATATGTGACCGCCAGACCGTTTAGCCATAAAGAGTGTAATTACCTTCTCGAGCGAGTACCCTAGATGGTTACTCTTTGTAAAAACATCGAATGCGTTAAATCGTGTATGTCACCAAAGTTATAATTTACTTCTAATTTAATTTTTTTTAAAGCTAAATGTTTTTATAGGTATCGCCATTATGTCCGGTACAGCTATATTAATAGGAAAAATGGCATTGATCCTAAGCGCGATCCTTGGTTTAAAAAAATTGGTATCCCAAAATCACGAAAAAACGACTTTTGAAATTATCAAATCTCCGAAACACACCGAGGAACATATTCATTCGTCCGCTCATGAAGATGACCATTTTGACCACTACAGAAGAAACTATTACGACACCAATGAAGTCCAGAAGAGGATTTATAGATTCCAGATTCCCGAACATTAAATATAAAAAAATATATTGTTATTCATTTAAATTATTGAACATAAAATATTTATTGCCTAGATTTTTTTTTTAGTATAAACTACAATTTTTCAACCAAATGCCTGAATGGTTATTGCAAAACTTTGAGCTACTCCATGGTTTGAATCCACTTGTCCTATAAATAGTCATCGCACAAAGAAAGTCGTTGGTGAGATCAGAATCTAGCAATGATTCACAAGAAATTTCACATTTGTGACCTGAAATTTTTATAAAAATTTAAAAAAAAATAGATGGGAGGGAAACGTCGGAATTATGCGTCCAAGGTAACAATTGGAGAAATTGGCATAAATAAAAACATTGTTGCCGATGAACCATTTCAATTTGAAGTTAATAAAAAAACAGATAAGTACTTAATAATTATCTACTATACCTATAGGTAATCCTTTCTCCTACGTCCTTCTACATTTTCCAAGATATTTAGGTACCTATCACAAAAATAGAAAAAATGATATTGTTGAAACATTTCGGCAACTATAATATGTTATATATAAGGACTAGGATATTCTGTGTCTGAAAACCAAATTTTTTTTTTTTTTTTTTTTTTTACGGATATGCGCACTCGCAAGGAAATGTCCTATCACGCTCGAGAAGCGGCAAGTGCGCGGAAATGTCGGTGTATGTTGGTCTTGAAACGGTTCAGGTTGTAACCTGCAGGGAAAACCGTCGCAGGGAGTTTATTCCACAGCGATGCTGTTCTCCAGAGATATGAATTCTGATATAATGAGGTTCTTGGTGCCTCTAGTTTGACAGTAAATTCATGGTTACCGTCTGTTTGACGGGTTCGCCTGGTAGGTGCTACTCTCGGTGGAATCATACGTGCCAACTCTTCAGAGCATTTTCCGTGATAGTACCTGTAGAAGAGAGATAAATCGCCCACCGTTCTGCGATGTTCGAGACCATCCAAGTTACGAGTAAGTGCGGGGTCATTGATCAGCTTGATAGCTCGTTTTTGCACGGTATTCAAAAGCATTAAGGTATGTTTGGGTGCTGCACTCCATATATGTGAGCAGTACTCCATAGTTGGTCGAATCTGGGCTTTGTAGAGTGTCAGCAATTGGCTTGGTGTGTACAGATGTCTTGTACGAAATAGCACCCCCAGCTTTTGGGAGGCCCTTTTAGCAATATCTGCCACGTGACTGTGCCAAGACGTGTTGGTCTCTGCAGTAACCCCCAAGATGTTCAACTGACTCTGTAATGTGACAGCACTTCCAGATAGCATGATGTTTGGCTCACCGGTGCTGGTCTTTTTTGAAAACAGAGCTGCTTGGGTTTTCTGCGCGTTGAACTGTACAAGGTTTTTGTTACCCCAGTCCTCTATTATCTCCAGGTCGTTATTTATCTGCGATATTTGAGTTAGTCTAAGATGATGGAATTCACGTGCGGAAAGACCTGTCGGTGGTATGAGTGAGGAGACTACATTGCCATCGTCTGCAAAGCAATAAAGTGGATTTACTGTTTTATCTATGAGGTCATTTATGTAAATCAGAAAAAGAGTTGGCGAAAGGATTGCTCCCTGTGGCACACCAGCATTTATTTGATAAGAGTTGGAGTTCTGGCCATCCAGTGCAACATAAATGGATCTGTCCTTTAGGTAACTTTCAAACCAAGTGCAAAGTTTCGGCGATAATCCCATTGCTTTGAGCTTGTTGAGCAGATTTTCATGCCAAACTTTGTCGAATGCTTTAGATATATCTAAGGCAATTGTTCTTGTTTCACCCCGCAACTCAATCGCTTTTTGCCATAAGTGAGTGACGTATGTAAGTAAATCGCCAGTTGACCTATATTTTCGAAATCCGTATTGCTTATCGTTGATAATTTTGTACTTTTCCAAGTACTTGGTTAGGTGATTGTTCACAACTCTTTCCATTACTTTTGATATCACCGCAAGTAGAGCAATTGGTCTATAGTTTAACGGATCTGTCTTTTTTCCTTTCTTTGGAATGGGTTGTACTGCGGCAGACTTCCATGATGATGGATATACTCCTTGCCTGTAAGACAAATTGAATAATTTTGCGAAAGTTGGGGTGAGTTCGTTGGCGCAATTTTTGAGTACTATTGCGGGAATGCCATCCGGACCCATTGCTTTGTTTGTATCCAGCTTTTTTAGGGATTTTCGTATTTCTCTGTGATAAAAGGGTACCTCTGGCATACTATGGGAAACCCTTTCAATGAACGGTGGAGTTTTTCCGTTTGGCACTGTTAGGTTGGAGTTGGAGGAAAACATTTGGGCAAGCATATTGGCTTTTTCCTCTGATGTTGTTGTCTCGATTGATTGAGTCAAAATTCTAGTGCCCTATTGTCTATTTCACTCTTGGTATTTTCAATTTCGAATAGTTTGTATCTTGTAAACTTTCTCCCACAATTCGTTGAGCTACTTTTAGATATCTTGAATATCGGCAAATTCTGACACATTTGATTACTATTTGAGACAAAATAAGAATAAGAGTCTTGCATACAAATAATTTTTTGATGTGTAAATATCTTTGTCGGCGGTATGAGGGTAAATCTCAGGAAATGGGGATGAAAGTGTGAAAGCGGATGCGACATGTGCAGTGATTAGTGCACAGCTACCCCAGCGCTTGCGGCGTAAGGTGGAATTTGATTTTCATGTCGATGATGTCGATATAGTGGATCGCTTTAAATTTGTGCAGTGCATTATGCCCGCTTTAGCTTGCACAAAGGAATAGGATAGAATAGGTAGGGCTTGCCTGATTTAGGATTTCCCAAATTCGGAAAATGGTTTCCACCAGTCAACATTTTGAAATTCCTAGATTTTCATCAATTTTTATCTGCTTACTTCAGTAGACCTAACCTCAATTTGTTTTTGTTTTTGTTAGGTTTGATGTTTTTGATTTTGACGTGTCCTCGGCTCCTCGGAGTAATTTTCTATGCATAGAGTATCTATGAAGTATCAGCTGATTTAATAATTAACGTTCAACTGCGTATATTAAACGATCAGTTCATACATGGACATCCTTCGTGCAAAGAATTTAGGAGTTTAAATACACTCCCAATCCGATCTCTGGGAGAAGGTGAACGAGTGGGTCTTCATCAAGTTCGATAATTGAATTCTCTAACATTAGAGGTATTACGCCAATTTAAACTCAGTGCACCAATATCTTGATCCACATATGCTGGTGTTAACGGAGACGCAAGTAAAATATTCTGTCGACCCAGTCCATCTCCTTCTATATGTACGGAGTATGAACTTCATACACGATTTCGCTTTAGCCAGGGACTTTGCGTGTTTTCTCGCAGTGAGCTCTCTTTCAACAGAATGAATGATCTCGAATCAACTGATCATGATGTAGTTTGGCTGAAAATTGCTTCTATGAACATGGTTAATTTTGTTTGCTGCGTGTATCTTTTACCCAACGACCCCAGTTATGAACTGGACCTATTTTAAAATCTGGAAAATTTACTTGATTCTATCCAGGAGACCCATACGAACTAAGAGATTAAATTTTTGGGAGATTTTATTATTCATAACTCAAAATGGCTTAAGTTCTTGAACACAACAACTCATGCTGGAAGGATTGATGAAGCATTTGTCATTTCACATGGCCTAACCCAGTTGGTAGATGAGCTCCCAACTAGCATCAAAGTTATAGATACCCTCACTGACCGAAACTGCTACTATGATAAGGTAAAAAATAGTAATTGGTACCAAATAACTTACTATGAAGTTTAAACCTCTAGTAAGTCAGAAGAATTAGTGGAATATCCGTAACACTGATCCAATTTGGTGACTATATGGGGTCATTACATTGTGGTAAGTTCCAGGGTTGCTGGAACCGTGGGGCGTCAAGGTAGCTACTTATTCGATACCAAAACTTTAAACTATTAAATAATTGTCACCGTAACGTGAAAAATTCAACTTTTCAGTAGGCGTGACTACTAAGTGTTTTTGAAGGTAACTACAACCGCAGAGGGACAATAAAAAACACTTTAGAGTTAGCAACTTCCAAGTAACATCGAAAAGTAACCGATTCATGAGAGCCACTTATGCATAGGTAAATTCTACTTTAACGAATTTAAAGGTAACTTCAACGTAGCGTTGAATAATATAGGCCAAAAAAATAAAATAAACCAAAGCAACATCGAAAAAGTTGTTCGGACGATTTAGATCTGGTTTTTCCGCAGAACAAGATAAGGAACTGGCTGATTTTATCTTAGAGATAGAAAATAGGCTTTTTGGCCTTAGCACAAGGGAATTAAGGCATCTTGCGGAAAAAAAAATAATATTGCACACACCTTCAATGAAGTTAAAAATCTGGCAAGGCGTGATTGGATCTACGGGTTTCTAAACAGGAATAAAAATATTTATTTGAGACTACCAGAATACACATCAGCAGCAAGGGCTCCGCGTTTAATAAATTCAACGTTAACTCATTTTTTACTTTTTTGGAAAAAATGCTGGAAAAATACAAATTTCTACCCAGTAAAATTTTCAATTGCGACGAGACAGGTATTTCCACGGTACCAAATAGGCCTTCAAGAATATTCTCTATGAAAGGCAAAAAGCAAGTTGGCAGTCTTTCTTCCGCTGAAAGAGGCACTTTAACAACAGCCGAAGTTGATAAAATGCCTAGCACTTGAGCAAGGACTTCCCTCGGAATCAATAGTCGAATATCATCCGTCTGGGTGGATGCAAAGTAGAATATTTTCAGAAGCCTGGTTCGAACACTTCACAAAATATTCCAAGCCTACTGAGACTGATCCGCTGTTATTGGTTTTCGACGAATATGCTAGACACACAAAAAATATGAAGTTGGTCGAAAAAGCAAACACAAATCATGTTCATATTTCCTCTTAATTCATACTACCAATAAGAGACTAAAAAATGGGATATTAATAAACCTGGAAAGCTGATAACTTTGTACCAAGTTGGAGAACTTTTTGGAAACGCCTTAAAATGCGCAGCAATCACACAAAATGCGGTTAACGGATTTAAAGCTACTGGAATTTGCTCTTTCGATCCGGATGTGTTTCCAGAAGATTTATTCAAACCGGCACAGGTCACTAATAGGGCACTAAATTAAGAATGGCGATTAACTCCTCAACCCCAGCAACAACCCGATAATCTTGAAATTAATTACTCTCCAGCTTCCTCCAGTGCTAGAACTCCGTCTCCTATGATTCCCAGAGTGCTAGCTAGAAACCCACAGTCCACATTAACTATTTTACCGAAAACCAA